GCCTCTAACTGATATTAAATTATATTACAAAAGTTTGCTAATGCATCAGTGAGTGTGCAGCATTTCTCGGTCGGAGTTATTCAGTTGGTACGTCGCTTCTTTCATTTTCCAACTGATGTGGCAAGCCTCTTAGAAAGGATTGCAAGATAAATCTGCGGTGTTTGTGAGATGATAAATGTGGTCAGAAAGAAGATAACGAAAACAATATTCTCTCTTATGCATCAATCTTCCTTAGGCCTGAAATCCTTCCTGAAAGACATTTCAGATGTGACGAGGAAATCCAAATAGAACAGATTTTCTTTTAAAATAATGAGTTACGAGTGGCAGCAATGCATTGCATCATAACACTGTATTATCTAGCAATGCAATTACTAATATTAAACCACTCTGAAACACATCCTTTTTCTCTGACTGTTTTCACTCTTGCACTCCATATAGCTATTTTTCACTTTAGGTATCCTGATTGACATAGCTGTTTGGGGAAAAAACAACCCAAAGCTACAAGATTGCTTTCAAGTTCAAGTAAAATCTTGACATCAATGTAATTACTAAATTTAGAGACAAACTTTTGTCGACCGTTCTGTGAAAGTGGACTAAACCATGCACCTGTCAGAATGAGGAAGGAGCCCCCAGAGGCTCTGGTGAGTCACCCGTATAAATTTATTTCCACCAGTAACATTTACTGCATGTAAAGAATGTCTGATGCCACCCGTTGGTTTGTGGACTACCATTTTGAAGCCTTGAGTTTGGAATTGGACCATTGCCACCTTGATCTTTTGAAACTGGATGGAAGGAGTAAGTGGTAGATCTGACTGAGAGCTCAAGGTTTGCTACACACAGATGTGATAGTAACCTGTCAATCATAAGGTAGCCCCACCCTAAAAGACAATTTTCTTTATAGTGTATTTTAATATAAATGGGACCATAATTTACAAAATGAATGCTATACTGTATTTAAAGAGACATTAAACTAGCAATTGAGACCATCAACTTATTAAGAAAAGTAAGAAGTAAAGTTGTTTTTTTAGAGACTTCTTTCAGTTAACCAAAGGAATCAGCCTCTGCTGGTCATTAGAAACAATGCAGGTTTTCTATTCAGACCGGGACAGTATTTCCATCTTTTATATTCTGTTTACCAAAGTATGATTCCAGGTATGGCTTGGCGATAAAACAATAGGCTGTGGCTGTTGGATACCAGCTTCGCAGTGGGAACATACTTATGCGACACATTTCTACTTATGTTTGCACTGTTTCTTACATGTATTTTTTTCTTTCTAGTATGTGTGTATCTGTGCGTACTGCTGCTGACAACACTATGAATTTCTCCACTGTGGGATAATAAAGGCATATCTTATCTTATATGTTTGTACATCTCACTGTGTGACTATCATTTTAATACTTCTTTTTTTGTTTTTAACTTACAATAAAAATCAGATCACTTCTTGTCTTCACTCATGTTTACAATGTGGAGTTACAGTTTTTCTCAGTCACTTTGATACATTTCTCAGATCAGAATTGAAATTCTCAAAACTACTTGCTCAATCTTTACATCATTGTGTCACTTGTGCACATCAAAAAAGCAGTTTCTCATTTCTTTGAACAAGTTCTAAATGCTTTGGTACATCCATGCAAATGATTATGTACAATTCTCTGCTGTTTTCTACATTATCAATTGCTTTTGTCATGTTGATCAAAATGTACTGTAATGGGTCTCTGTTGAATAGTCTTACACCCCACAACATTTAGGCATTAGTTCATCGCACAAGTCTTCACATGCAAAATGGTTGAACAAGTTGTCAGAATATGTCGAGCATATTTCTTTACATTTCCATTAGACTTTTTTTTCTAAATCTATCCTAAATTGGTAAGCTGCTCCCAGGTGAATCTTGACTTTCTCTAACGAAGGGAAATGTGTGTAGCATTACATAGATCAACCAATGATCAACCAGTTTTCTGAAATAGCTCAAACATGCATCTCCTGAACCATCAACTGGTAGTATAGAGGAAGACTGCACTGTAATTCCTACAGCACTGCATGTACAGTTTTCCCTAAAGAAATTATCCTATGTACATATTTCTACTTTTGTTTTTTTTGTTTTTTGCTTTATGCTATGCAGTGCTCTTTTCCTTTCTGTATTGCAATGACATGGTCTGTCAACAAATTACAGTACAAAGAGTAAAAGTCTAAATGTGAATCTTGTCCAGTCTCTTGCAATCAATGTCCCGCATTCACTAAGGGGTGTAACTCACAATTTACAATTTACAATAATTGTCATCAAAACTTAAGCCATAATTTACATCAGAACATCCCTCCAGAGTACACTGTTACACTGACAACATGACTAAGCAGTTTGTCTTATCCATACACATTGACACAGGGACTTGTCATTGTGATGGCACTGCCATGTTCATTGACACAGATATTTAGTTTTGAAAGATGAACTAAGGATTTTGAGCGAGCAAGTAACTGCCTTTTGCAGGTAATCCGTGGTGTTTTGCCATTCGTACGAATTGTTTTGAGAAATGCACTTACTGTTTTGCAAATGTCAAGGATGATTCGAGAAATGTACCAAAGCGACAGAGAAAAACTGTAATCTGAGTATTACGGTAGCAGCATTCAGCTGCGCGTCTTGCAGTGAGCTCCGGGCGTTACGGTGCTGCCCGGCCCCCCCGGACCGCGCGCTGCTCCGGTGTTTGTTCACGCGCAGAGCCGCCACACCGAGCCGTCACTAACCGCAGCTCAAGCTTCGCTCTGAAGCAAACTCTGGACACCACTCCGCTTTCTGCTGTAAGTTACGCATATTATTCTTTGCTTTTCTAAAGCCTCTTTCCCACTGTCCTTCCCGCGAAGTGCAGTTGTACAGTTTTAAGATGCTTCACGCTTTGTTTCGTGTCCGTCCTGGAGAGTTAAGAATCAACTGCAGCCTGAAATTCAACTCGTTTCACGCTGCGTGTTTGGAGAAGCTTTTTACGAGAGCAGGCTTTTCATGTGGTCAATAAGTTGTTTGTAGTCGCGCTAGTTTATGGGATTTTTTTTTTCTTGAAGCATGCGCTGGAGAAAGGAAGTTAAAATAAGCTGTCGAAGAAGAAAAAAAAAACAAGTTTCTTTGTAACGTGTAGCTGGGGATTATTTTGTATTATTAGAAAATTAAACCCGTTCATTTGTTTTGTATTTTCTTTACCGTGTTGCTCCATAACCGTCTTAACGACTTAGCTGCGACACCCCACCCAGCAACTGTGAAGTTATTTAGCAGCCAGAGCTTCACGTTTGCAAATCTTTTTTTTTTTTTTTTTTTGGGCAAGGGGGGAGGTCAAAAATGTTCTGTCATTAGTCAACATTACAGTTTAGCAGGGGTTTTTTAATTCGCAGTTCTCTCAAGTTTTTGTATTTCATTAAACTACTGGAAAAAATACCAACAGGTCACTCAGAATGAGGGGTGACAAATTAAAGGAAAACTCTGAATAAATGAATGGAGGACCATTAGGAATGCAGGAGTTACCGTTCAGTGATGCTCTGTGTCATGTAGAACAATGTTGGGCTGGCTCAGCTGATTGTGAAGGAAAAGAGAAAACCAGGAAAGAGGGGTCATTGTTGGGGCACAGATGGCAGGAGCATCAGTCACAAAGATTCCTCAAACTGGCTTGTCTGCATTTAGATCTGCAGGACAGACTAAAAAGAGCTGGAAACGTTGGTTGATAAGCATCATGCTCATGCATTAGATGAGTACAAACGGAAGAGCAATGCTGCATTAGGTAGCCGAGAAGGTCAATGACGGAGATGATTACACTGGGTCAGTAAGAACAGTAAGCCAACAAATACAGAGTGAGTTGTATTATAGTAGGTTTGCACTGTATGAACCCCTCATTACAAAGATGAATGCACATTTGAGCTCAGTGGTGGACAACCACAGCGACTACAGAGATGTGAAAAAGTGCTGTGGTCAGATGAGTCATCTGTGTGTGTTCTAGACAAGTGGGCGAGTGCATATGTAGGTTACACCAAGACCAAAACAGTACAGAGCTGAATGCTTGACCCCAACAGTGAGGGGATCTGGTGGATCACTTGTACTATGTGAGGCATTTTGCTGGCATGATTTGGATCCACTTGCCCCCCTGAGATGAAAGAGTCACTGCAAATCAATACACCATTGCTCTGAGTGATCACCTTCATCCTGTGATGAAACACTGACATTCTGATGGGAGTGGTCTCTTCCAGAATGGTCCCATCCATAGTGCAGGAGGGGTCACTGGATGGTTTGATGAAAATGATGAGAACCATTTGCTATAGCCTTCACAGTCTCCAGATCTTAATCAAATTGAACACCTTTGGAAGACCGACGTATTAGACAGCATTCTCCAGCACCAACATCAAAACGCCAAATGAAAGAATAGGACATTTCATGTTGGTTTTTCCTTTAATTTGTCACCCATCTGGAGAATAAATGGCAGTTCTCACTGGTTACCAGGTGCAACTGGATTAACCAGTGTGGCAAAGCCAAGATACACCAATATGTTCTTATCAGATTAACAGATATTGCTCAAGTAGGGCAGCAGTTTTAGGCATTATATTTCTGAACCAGCAGTTTTTTCAGTTGAAAGAGACGACACACGTGTGCTGCAATGTTTATCTAAAACCGAAATTAGTTTCTGCCAGTGTACACAGTTCAAATGTATACTTTATCTTGAAATTTTAATTAAGATTAAGCGTAGTAGTCAATTGAAACTGACTGCAGAGTTAATGAGCTCTGTTTGAATAGCTGCCATTCATTCTTGGGAAAGGTAAATCCTTCAGTGTGAGAGTGTGTTTAACACTCACGTCAGTATTTGGTGTGTCAAGACTTGTCCTAAGCGAAGTTCAGCAGTGCTGCAGCACACACAGAAACAGTCATGTTGTCTGTGCTTTGTAATCTGCAGAAAAAGTCTCACTTCTATTTCTCATGATGATTGCTCATCTGATGATTAAAATATGGGCGTATTTTCCAATTTCCAACTGCTGAATTTGTTGAGTGTTTCAGCTGGAACAATAGACAATGAACAGCTGTAGTTTTCCCTCAGTGTGACATCAGTGCTCAGTGCATGCTTGTACATTGACATGCTCAAGTTTTCAATGCTACCACCAAGTCAACACACAACAAAACCTAACCCAAGATGCTGGTCTGGGTCAGACACAAGTCAATAACATGAGGGAAGCACCATAGGGGCTTTATTAAATTCCTCACATTTCAAAATGAGGAAAAACCAGATGAAAAAGAGGGGTTTTACCTCTCAGCATGACATCTTTAAAACCTGCTTACTTGGTTTTTCTTTTTCATGAATCAAGCCTTATTCCCATGGCAGCAGTAGCACTGTTTTCCTCTAATCGCCTCATGATCAAGAATCAACATATCATCTAGGCTCTGTGGGCGGGCGGAGGTTTCTAATTGGCCAAAGAAATAGGAAAGATGAAACGGGGCTTCCATCTCTGTTCTTAGTGCCCATGGTGACAAAGTTTCCAGTTTGGTGAAAAACTAAAAAAGCTGATGCGAAGTGAGCAGCAGTGGCCGTGAGGTGGAGATGCTGATTTAGCCGTCAGCCATGTATTTTCTGGCAGAGGTATTTGTTCCAAAGCATCTCTGCACTTTTAGCCAAAGCAAGCATAATCAAACCACTGGATTTTTGGATATTTCCACTGTTAACATAGTAAACACGCTGTGTTCTGAAAGCACAAGTAGCTCTGGTAAACGGGTCAGATCTGCCTCGATGGTGACCTTTTAGACCATTTTCTTTCCCTGCATATGTTTGTGACTGCAGGATAGTGTCACCCTAGCCAACCCTCACACACTGTTTCAGCTTTTGTTGCAAGCTCTTCTCACTAATGGCTCTCATGCAGAACATTGCAGCTCCCCCGTGTCACAAAGAAGTGGTGCACATTGTCATGGAACTGTGCTTAATATCCGTCCAGCCAGCGGAACTATTACATTACAGTATGACATCCCCATCCAGTGAGGTGAGATTTACTGCGCTGCAAAACTGCAAGTTGTCCCCGTGCGCTCCATCATACTGGATTGGGAGTTGAGCAGGTCTCAGTGGTAGCTGGGCTGCGATATGAAATGGTCCGCTGAGAGTTACGCAGTAGCATATGTAGATGGTTGTGTGTGTAATTTTTGTGAGGAGGCAGCGAGGCAGGCAGCAGCACGGAGCCCTGGGCAGTCCCACAGGTCCTTCACACACTCTTGGCATGCTGTATGCGGGATGATCAAAGCAGATGGTAACCCCCTTTTTTGTTTAACCCCTCGGTGATTAATTAACACTTCAGTTCACTGACAGTCCACCAATGACACAATGAACTGTATTTCATTTACTGCTTATTTTTAGATAAGCGGTGTAAATGGATGCAAGTGTTGCTGAATGAGGTGCTTGTTGCTGACAGATCAGGCGGAGTGGCACAAAGGGAGGTTTTTCTTGAAACAGATTGGAAAGGAGCTTGAAGACTTGTCTTTTCTTTATTTTTCAAATTAAGAGAATGCAAAGATAATATATTTAAAGAAAAATCTGACTGACTGCAGATGTCTTCTACGTGTGCTGTTTTGGTTATCGTCTCTTTAGATCTATTCTTAAAATAGAAACAAATGTGATTTACTTCAGCGAAACAGTGGTAAGCTATATTTAGGTTAATCTTTTCTGCACTGACTTCTGTTCTGTCTCTGGGGCCTACTGTGCACCAGCAGCATTGTTGTACCGACAAGGATGGCTTTCTCCTCAGGATCTTTGCTTTTAATTTCCTACTGTCTGCCGTGACACTGGTTTAGCCGTAGGCTTTACTGATGACCCTCCAGCAGATGTGCCTCTGTTTATTGGACAAGATTAGAGAAGCCAAGACCATATGCTACTTTTTAGACTTTACCACTTTATGGCAGCGATGGCCCTGCCCAACTCATTGATCGCATCTTGGTAAGACAGAAAGGTAGTGCCATTTTTGGATGATGCTAAAACGCTGTGGATAATTTCTTTGTGCATTTGACAAGTAATTTCCCTCAGGCAGTTCCAGCTGTCTGCATGAACTCAGCAGAATCTCATCCTGAGTTCATTATGTGTGATAACCACATTACCTCATGTGGTAAAGTATCCTTCATTTGACTTACTCGTATCCTCGTTTGTTGGTCTGTGGTTTCCTAAAATCATCACAAACTTTAATTAAATTTTAATTAATATTTAACTGAGTAGTACACTTGAGGGGACCCCACAGCACATCTGGAAGGACAGAGCAGTGAGTTGAGTTTAAGCGGAAGCTGTGAACTCTTCATCTGATAGTATCTGTATTCGCTAATTAGATTTGTAATTGTGTGTCGGTGGCGAAAAGTCTGCAGTCTCCCAAAATGAGGAACGCATCAGGCTGTGCAGCTCAGCTGTTCAGAGCTCTGCTGTGGAGGCTGCTTCTTTAAGTCACTGTGTATTGTGCTCACAGTGGAACATTGGGATTGTTTTGGCCACTTGTGCCCCTGCATTGAGTTTTTTTTTTTTTTTTTTTTCGTGGTTTCACATTTCCCCCTTTGCCATTTGAACAAAGTCACCTTTCACTTCTCCTCAGCAGCGCTTATCCATCATGTCTAACATTTTCAACACTTTCCCGCTATATCTGGTTAGCTGACCTCCTGGCAACCTTTTACTGGAAGAACTCAAAACCTCACAATCTGAAGAAAATAAATGGAACTATCTCAGCTGCTAAATGCTAAGAGTTGAGGCAGCAGCTTTATCTCCCCATAGGTTCAGTCTATTACCTCAGAGCCATTCCCATGGAGGCTCAGTAAT